GCTTGCTGTATGGTAAAGCGCACCCCCCTCCTCCTATCAACAGCCTATTGCTCCTGACTGTTCTTGGCAAACATAATCTGGCAAGGTAAGTGAATTAGACACTGCATAAAAAGGCTCTGGCAGAGTAATTCAGTAAAGTGGAGGAATTATCTGAAATAAAACAGCATGTGAAATGATGGGAAAGCCAGGCATTAAAAAGAAAAGTCCAATAAGGACAATTTGCTAAAAGCAACTTTGGATAATTTTCTTCGTGACATTCCATCTCTCATTAGAGGCCCTTTATAGAGCAAGTTTCACTCCATTAGAACATGCTCTCTTTTGAACTGAAACGTGCTACAATGACATTAAAAAAATAACAACTTTTCCATTCAAAATAGTCAAATATGAAGTAGAGCATTTGCTTGTATAAGTAGAAATTTTAGGACACGAGACCATTAAGCATTGAGAGCCAACAAGCTCAGACGAGGATTAAAACTATGAAATAAAGCCGGGATGTCATTGCAGCAGAGAATTGAGCTGTAAAGCTTTAACAAAACCTGGCCATATGTGGGTCACGACACGGTGGGACAAGATGCTGACCCTGGAAAGACCGGTTCGGGAAGAATTAGACCAGACAAAAAAAAAAAAAAAAAAAAAAGGAGGGCATTGGGATGAGCCCAGCATAAAAAATATAAATAAAGGCATTGTACAAAAGAAAGAGAAGAAATAGTTTTTGACTATAGTTTTGATGAAAGTCATCATTCTGATCCTCTCTACAGAGGATCAGAATGATGACTCTTATCAGAAAGATCAGTTTTAGTTTAATAATTTAACTAAGCAAAGCAGACACTGATATTCATCTACAGCACCTGTGGATTGCCTTATTGAAATAATTTTATTTTCATTCCTTGCACGAAGGAGGCTAAGGGATATAACATGTACTTTATAACGTCCAGTTATGATGTTGCACTGTTCATCCACATCTGGGTTAAGAAGGAAAAGGACTAAATGTACCCAACTAACACCTTTGATAACAGTAATTCTTATAAAAGGTTGAAGTCTCTCCTCCAGACACATTATCAATATTAAACATTTGTTAGATTTGATGAGATTTTCAAAATGTGTTCTGAAATGCTATTTGTTATAAAAAAAAATGTAAAAAAATTACCCCGTCCTCAGATATCATGGCTTAAATAATCAATAACAATCCTTTAAATATCTCGCTGAATCTGTTGTGGTTCCTCCAACATATTGGGACAGTTTAGTCAGCAGGAAGGAAATGTTTTCTCTTGCTTATTGTGCATAAAAGCCCAGTAGACAGTACGCCAACATTACACATCCTGTTTCCTTAAATCCAGCCAGAACTGTGCAGATAGAAAGTAGGACAAGAATACTGTGTCCCTTATGGATTCAATGAAGAGAAATGGGACAACAACAGGGGTGTTGTGTTGAGCTTTTGACATTCCACTGAGACTCCCCAAGGACTGCCTGGAGGCTCTGACACTGGGCTGCAGCGCTAATCGCTGCAACAGCATTGACTACATTTCCTGTTATTGAGATGCAGCAATGAGAAAGAGGGTCTGCCCTAGCTGAGGTTACGAAAGAAGCTGCTGATACTGTCAACTATATTCATCTGGCTCCAACCCCAAAAAACAAACTTCAAACTTTGAGATGATCATCTTGACAACAGCACCGACTGTTCTTGTATTTTACATCTTCATCTCAAAGACAAGCATTTAGCTCAAATAGATTTTTAAGTTGCAGTCTTTTGTTTGATTTAACTGTCAACTAAAATGTTGCTGTACCTTTCCATTTGTAAAAACTCGCTTCTTATGAAACAAGAAACATTTTAAATTGGTTAAATTTTAAAGCTCATTTTGAGTAGCAGGTATCACTTTTCTTTTCCTACTTCCAATGCATCACTACTGTAAAACCTAAAGTGACATTGCAAAACAGTCTTGAATTAAAACTAAACTGCTTAAAACTAGTTTGTGCATCAGACGTTGTAGTTCTACAGAGCTGCACTGATGAGGCTTTTCCTGGCCACAAAATACATTTCGAATTTCAGGATACTCAAAACAAAGAAGAACATTCTCTTCAAATGTTCCTGTCTTAGTTTTTTTTTTCTTGCGCTGGTATGTCTCACTTGTTCCAACAAAGAAATGAAGCTCATAAAATCCATCTTAACTGGCATTCTCTTCTCAAGAATGCTGTAAGCAATGAGTGTACCAAGAACGCAGAGATCCAAGAGGGGAGGGAATGTGGGATTCAAGTCACACTTACGCAAATGAGCCTCGGCTGTGTTAGCCAGAGGTTTAAAAACTTTAATTGCAGCTGTCAGTGAGCAAAGTGCCTCCTCAAGTTAAAGTGACAGACTACTGCAGTTCATTCAACAGTCTGATGTAAATACGTAAAGCCCAAAAATAACAGATATTCAAGATATCCTAAACATTGTGTAATCAAGCTCCACAAAAAAATTAGTAAAACCCAATTCAACAAGATAAAAAGTAAGTAATCTGAACAAAGCCATTGCAGCACTAGTCTGATTTGGAACTAGACAGCATAATGAGCAGCTCTCTTAGGACATTACGAGAAAATGAAAGGCTGTGTTGATACCAAGAAACTGTGTCTTGCTGCATCACAGCATCATGTGATGATTTTCCTACAAGACAGGATGTTTTTGTGTTACTAATAGTGACAAAGCAGCTACACAGCAAGTAAAACGCCAGTGCTTTCACTGGCTGTACAGTGAGGGGTGGAAGAAAACGGTAACGCACCAAAGAGTCTGCTCTGCAGCATCTGCAAAAACGGCCACTGCAGAGAAAAGTCATAAGAAAAGCAAAAGAACCAAAACTCTCAACTGAAGCTTTAAACCAAACATTTGTCTGTTACTTACACTAAAATTAGCTACATATAATGTCAGTGATATCTTTCCATTATGTCTGAGAAAACCTAAATAGAACCCACTTTATGTGTTCCTGGCCTGGTTTAAAAAACATGTATACGTCTCCAGATGTGACCCATTTTTAAAACTCTTTTAGGAAAAAAAAAAACTCAACCCTGCCTCTATCACCACAGCGCACTCCTCTTTGGAAGCACACATGGCCCTTTACCTGCGTTTTATTTTTAGCCATCTGTCTGCCTGCTGCTCAGTCCCACGTGAGCTAAGGAGATTTAGTCTCCATGAGTTCTCCCTCTAGCAGGCATCAAATCGGTTCTCTATTTAAAGAAAACAGCTGCATTGAAACCATGTGTGGAAAATAACAAATTACTGCAGTAAACTAAGTCATACAATTTTTGCAACAATTTTAAAACATTTACCACCAATCTCAGAGTTCAACTATGTCTCAGCCGCCTTATTAGCAGTAGCGGCTGGCCAATAGAGGGCGCTAGGCTGCCACCCCACACTAAATGACCCTGATCAAGACATAAAAACATGTTTAAAAAAAAAAAAAAAAAAAAAAAAAATATATATATATATATATATATATATATATATATATATATATATATATATATATATATATAATCTTTAATGACTAGTAAGGCATAATTCAATTTTTCGTCAGATTTGTGACGTATTTCGGCCCTAGGGTGAAAAAATCTTTGCCCACTGACTCATTATAAGTTGTACATGCGCAGTAGCTCCTCTGAAATACGAAGGTATAGGCGAGCTCGGAACGGTTTGGCTAGCAGCATGTAGCTTTATTCTGCTTTCCCTGCCTCCTTTTTCGAAAGTCAGGATCTGACCCAGCATGGATAAAGACAGGTAGAACTGATTTTAAGAACTTTGTAGAAAAGGCAAAGAAGAATAAACAATCTGGACAATGACATGGAAAATAATAGAATATAGTGTACTTTTTCTAAATGTTTGTTAATTTGCATAGTTGCTCATGAATAAACATATTGTCAGAAAATGAATAGTTTTCATATATTAAAAAAATATATAAAGCTGACTAGTAGTTCCTCCATTATCAAACTGGTACATTATTTTTTAAGGTTTGTAACACAATACTAGAGCATGTAAAATACAGATTTTTCTCCACAAAACCTCAGAAGGCCAAGATCTATTTACAAAAAGTAAACCTGTTCAAGATATTACATTTTGTTTTTATAATGTTTTTTTGTTTTTGGCATTCATATAAATATACCAGTGTGATAATTTAATATACGGTTGATTGTTTTTTTGGTATACGTCTATTTTGAATTCATAGCCCCCACTGAAGAAAATTCCACCAGCCGCCACTGCTTATTAGCCATTTTGAAGGTATTTGGTTGGTTACATAAATCAGATAATGAATCTGCAAATTTTCATTTTATAGAGAAATGAAGAAATACTATGTAAGTAGTAATTAGATGAGTATACTTTACATTAACTTAAATTTTCTGATTTGATAACAATTTGTGAATACATTTCATTTCTTTTTTAATTTCCAGAGATACACTGACAAAGTTTCTATTGCTAGATTCTGATCTTTGTGTTGCAGGCCCTCTGAAAGCGATGCTAGTTTTAAATCAAATAGAATACAAACAGTGCATATTAATTTATTTTATCATCATCTCCAGAGCACCTTACACTCAGTTGCAACGTGCGCAAATATGCACGTTTGAAAGAAGAATTTCTGATTGAGCTTCACCAGATTCATCCATCTAGTCAGTCAGCTGTAAAAATCTACGCTAGCAACTGAATTTCTAATGCCTCGAAAGGCCCTACAACCACTGAATCTGTGGCAGGCTTTCTGTTTCACATAAAACCACAATCTAGTTACACACTCCAACTATCAGCACTCAAATGTGCGACACGAATTCCAAACCTAAGCAGGCAAACAGCATGCCTCACCTTTATGTTTGAAAATTATTTGAGAATGTAATTTCAATTCAATATGTGAACTGAATGTCATCAGCACTTTCACTGCACATGTGAAGCACCCACTGATCAGTGTTATATAACAGTCGACATAATGCATTCAGAAGTCACGCAGAGAGGAAAATTGCTAGCCCCCACAGGTAAAAGGACTTACCGCCATCACCAGCTCAAAGGGATGTTTATACACCCGCACAGGTGACTGATACTTCTGCACCATGATGGGAATTACAGTAACACCAACAACCTGGACAGAAAGCAGAACACATCATATAGACAAACATTTAAAAAAACTACATGTATATAAATGAGCTGGTTTATTTCTGACAGTCAAAACAGATCAAATAAATCTACACAAAGCAGTAGAATAAAGGAGAACTACAGACATAGCTAAATAGGGGAATGGTTTTTGAGTGTGATGTTTAGCAATCTTGGCAGCAAATAGTGAGTGTAGTGATGAGCTGTCAAAGGGATCCCTTCGATCAATGGATGCAGCACATCCTTCTCATTCATTAGAGAACTGTGTCACCACAAGCTAGTGGGGATAAAACTAGGCTACACTCAGCTGCACTCTGTGCCAAACCTCCTTTCTCGGCAAAGTAGGCCTTGATTTCATTGAAATATTAAAAAGCAGGTGCCGCTCACATACCGCACACTGCAGCTGGCCTCCGTTCAAACAGGCCAGTGGGAATGTCTGTAACAGAATGTTCTAGATGCTGGAGGATAAAGAGCTTAATGGCCAGTGGTTTTTTTTTATATTTATTTTTCTTTAATGAAGCACAGACCTTGCGATGACAAAGGATTTAATTTATTTTTGTATTTATACCGGCACCGTGTGTGCCTGAAGCTTAAACTTGCAGGGAGTTTTGCTCAACGGGCCAGGACATGTTGAAACTGGAAGTATAAGGGCTTTCTGCAAGAAGGGGGGTTATGGCAAAGCTGCTCTGAGGTGCAAAACACAACAATACCTTCTTAGGTTTTTTTCTTCCCCATTTTCTATTTTTTAATTGGTGTCAATTCTCACTTTGGTAAATTTGACTCTGGTTTTTAATATCAATGCTTTATGCTTTGCTCCTCTGGGCCAGCATGTATGAGGACAGCAGACTACAAAAACAAAATGAGGTCAGACTAAACACTAACAGGTTATTTTACACAGCTTATTACTACAGCCCCTTATAATTACCGTCATTATTCAGGAACAGTCAGCAACTTTGAAAACACACCAAAACAGGATCTCAGTACGAGTTAACCATCTGAATGCCTCAGTAAGCACATTTTAATTTGTCTGCTTACATTTCATTTTTACGGTTCAAGTTCCAATGCTATTTTTTTATAAACCTGAAAGGTGACGTCTTCTACTTCCAATAGGTTCACCGGCCATCTACATCAGCTGTAGCTATACTCTTGCCACAACATAGTGCAAGGTTTAATCAAAGGGTAAACATTAGAAACAGCAGAGAATAACAGGAAAGTGACAGTGTAAACACTCTTGGGAGAACTTATTTGCCAAGTTAGTTGCTGACAAAAACTGGTTTGTCAGAACAGGATATAGCTGCTGCAAAGATTGATTGGAGAAGTAGGACAAGTTGGAGAATAGAATGAGTGATGGAGCAGAATAACTTTCCGTTAAGACAAAAAGGAGCACTACTATAAAAAAATATTAGCTGTCTTAGGTCATTTCACCTCTTCTCTATTTACTTTTCTGCCTTTAGTCTCTTTTATCAGACTTTTCATCTAGGATATTCAGTACCATCTATACCTCAGGCGTATGTTTAACAAGTTTCAACAACCAAAATTCAAATGTATGTTCATAGATCAGGATTAATTTATTAAAAAAAGAAAAAAAACATCTAGTTCTGCAACTGAAATGTTTAATATGCAGAGGCAGACAGAGCGATTTGGGTTTGATCAGGAAACAAAATCTTTTTTTGTTTAAACTGGCCAATAGATCAGTCATATGTAGAAATCGGTGATTAAAAAAAAGTTGCAATATACAAATAAACAGAGATAAAGGAAATTTGTGCATTTAAAATGACATCTGGCAACGTTTTGTGTGGGAACAATATGCTTGTTTACATCTGTAACACAGAACCTGAAAGGGGCAAAATGTCAGAGTGACTATTGAATAATTTTAGAAATAACCTACAGCCAAATGGGAAAAACTTAATCATAAAAAAGGCAATATCACAAATTCAAATAATCACATTGTGAAAATTATCAAATAGCCTACTTGTGTTGTTTTGGAAGTTTCAAAAAAGCTTATCTAAAAATATTGATAACTTTCCCCTTTTTTTTTCTATAAGACCCAAAGATGGTACCTTTTTTTTTTTAAGTACAGATCAATCTCCAAAGGGAAACGCGTGATAACCTCACTATATCCTCATACTGTTTAGGAACAAGTTTTTATCCGTTTGAACTAGTTTTGTTTAAAACAGGTTTAACCCGACCTGGAGATGACATCAGTCCAATACATTTTAAGAGGGCTACAGGTAAATATTGAAATTAAAAGAGAGTACAGCACTAATTTTTCCCCTGTATCTTGTACTTTTTAACAAAATGTAGCCCAACACTTATGTAAAATAACGCTGATGTGATCTAGATTAAAAATGCGATTTAATAAACATTTAAAATGGGAAACAACCCGAGAAACCTTCAGTATATGACGTTATAGCAATAATTATGACAGTAATTGGAAACGAACAGCTGGTATAAGCTAACATAATAACAGAAGCCGAAAGCTAACAAGAAGTTCACAAACCGATATTCGGTTCGCACAGCTTTTATAGCAGGTACTTACCGGATATTAGAGGAGACGATTAAATGTTTCCTTTTTTCAGTCGTGGTTTCTCCTGGAAGGGGAACCAGAGTGAATTCCTTCCATTCCGCTCCTCCTCGGTTCTTCACTTGACCCGGTTTCTCTGCTAACAACGGTTAGCTTCGCAGTGCTAGCTAGACATGGAACAGAATTGTCCAAAAAAGGTTAAATGTAATTTAAGTTACTTCAACAGGTAACAGCCACAGAAGCTGACAGTTAAAGGAAATAATCGCTTTTGCAGAATCCACTTCCAGTATAGTGGAGTCCTAACAGATGGAGAAGTATGGACGCAGGAGGACAGCAGCGGTATTTCTCCTCCGAAAGCCCCGCCCCTTTTCTCGGTGTTTTTCCACCTCCCACTTCTCCTGCGAAGGACAGGCAGCAGAGAACAAATCCAGCACCAAAAATCAAATAAAGTGTAAAACTCTAAAAGATTAAGATCATTAGGGGAATATTATAGCTGGTTAAATGATCAGATTATAATACGAATACGTTTATTTATTAATTTACGGATTTTTTATGCAAACGGCCTTGATCCAGATTTATATAATATGATCCATGTTCAGTATAAAGAGGTCTTTTTTTTGTAAACATTTCCACTTTTGTAATTGTTTAAAATACATAAAAAAAATAAATAAATAAAAACTAAAGCGGAGGTCTTTAACAGGGGGTACGCGACCTCTAGGGGGTCCGTGGAGGTACTGCATGGGGGTCGTGAAATTTTTGGTTGATAAGACTTTTTTTTATATATTCCTCCCTGCAAGTGGGCTCTCCTCATCCTATGCAAGAAGTACATGCGCTTCTGTGCCCGTTTGATCAGTGAGGTGGTTACAGGTAAAGGTTACTGTGATGTGCACCCCCAGGAATTTGGTGCTGTTGACCACCTCTATAGTTGAACTTTTGATGACCAGTGGAGCGTGGTTAGGCCGGTTCTTCTTTAAGTTCAAGATGATCAGGATTAGGCTGTTATCTTTGCACCAGTCCACCAGCTGCTCCACATCCTCTCTGTAGTTCTCAAACATCCTCAATTCACACATTCAGCGACACACAGGAGCTCTTTCAAGTTGGGCACCGTTTCATTCACAACACCTGTCCCATCAACTAGGAATCAGAAATACTTTAATAGTCCCAGGATGAAATTACTTTTGTTACATTATTCCATCTGTAATAGAGTGACTATAGGACGAGTTTGATATAACACAATTTCATACAATATATATAACTAGCGGGTCCCGGCTCCATTTCGCCATCAGTTTGGGCGTCCATAGCCTGGGAAACGTTGAAGACCCCTTGTGATGGAGAGCAGAGGCTCCATCCTTATTAATTGGGATTTATTTATAGAACAGATAGTTTGTTTAATTTCTTTATTTCAGTTTGTGTTGTGTTAATTGGGGTTTATTTATAGAACAGATAGTTTTTGTTTAATTTCTTTATTTCAGTTTGTGTTGTGTTAATTGGGGTTTACCTTCCTGGTGTGTCTCCTTAGAAGGGTGGAGCATACCATGTGAGCTAAGAAGGATAATACTCTATAGTTAAGTTATATTAAGTTTGATTTATTTTCTTGATTGACTTTAGGATTAGTTGTTTCTAAGTTGCATGCATGTAAATATTTATTTGTACTCTTTATTTTGTGTTGGGTTTGTAAATAATTTATGGTTGTTTTGTCACCCCTTCACCTGGTGTGGAGTGGGAGTGGCCAAAAGTTAAAGCAAGCTGCTGTGCTTGGCAGTGAAAGAAAAGGGGTGTCGGTGTATTGGTGAACTGCAGCACCAATAAAACATATTCCACCAAGTCTTGTTGCCTTGCCTCACCTCCTTCCAACGCAGTGCCGCCCTCGGAGAGTGACACCCCTGGTATAAAGAAAATATTATTTATCATATTTAAATAATAATAATAATACAATTTATTGTAGAGTTACTCTATTTTTAATAAAACTAATAAAACATAAAATGCTATAAATAGTAAAGTTGAAAAATCTAATCAGTATGTCATTGAAATTTGTAGATGGCTGCATAGACTTGATTTGATCAAACACATCAGAGCAACATCAGCAATCTCTTGAAGGCAGATCTTATTTCTGGTAACTCTGCCCTCTTTTCTATCACACTTTTTCTTCTACATAACTTTCTGGCTAGAACAAAGCACTTTTTTAAACACCAAATTATTCAGCGATGAACTTTTCGGGCTTAACCTCCTCGTGGAGAATTTTCATGACTGTCAGTTGGACAACTATCAATCAGCAGTCATTACCATGGTTGCCAAAACATGTAGATTGTGTGTTTAAATTGTTTAAAACATCCTGTAGGTTAAATATGACATTAAATTGATTTACATTAATAGCATACCCTTTTAATGATATTCTATTTAACTGTGTCTCTGATGGAGCAAAAGTCTCAGCTGTGCTTCTGGTGCATTAGCATAGAGTAATGGAACACCCGCAACTAAATGTCCTAAGCAGCTGTCTGCCTTGAGCATGAGTTAATGCAGCAGAGATCACATTATTCAGAGATGGGAGGGGGGGCAGGAAAGCTGCTCATTCAAGAGAAGAAAAAGAATCTCATTGAAACCAGAATGCAGTGTTTGAGACCATATTTCCAAACACAATTTAGAAAAGAAAAGGTTTAGAGAGAGGAAATAATAATAATCAAGGAGTAGGATTGCACTATTCTATTGTTTAATACTGATCTGATTATTCTGTCATTTCCCTGTTTCTGTTTCCTGGCTGTCTGTCTTGATTATTTTGGAAACATTAACATTCAACTTTTGTGCATGTATGATATGTGAATTTATTTTTTGTTGTTGTTTTAAAGTAATTTATAATCAACTTCAAATCTTTTTGTATTCCAATGATATTTGTGACCTGATTATTTTAAATACCACAAAGGCATTTAAACAACTCTCCTCAAATTTTTTTCATCATTCCTTGAAAGGTGGACTCTGGCAGCTCTGACATTTTAATGCTTCTATGTTGTTGGCAGTTTTTGATGGGGTAGGTCATTATATCCTGTTGTGTTGATGAATACAGGTAGTTGGTATGATGGGATTAGCTTTGAGTTGGCTTCAGTTGTATGTAGAGACAGGAGCATCCGTTGTTGTTCAAAGCTCTGTCATAGGTCTTCTAATGGCCAAAAACTACATTTGGCAGCCTCTACTGAATGTAAGCACAAAAAAAAAAAAAAAAAAAACAATGCCAACCATGCATTTAATTTGCTAACCAACTCAAACTACTTACCTCTACAAATATGCAGCATTCCTTTTGTGTAGATATTTAAAAGAGAATTATAGCCTCACGTTTTAGTCTTTGTCTGAAAGTACCAATTAAATTAGAATAATTCTTACAATCACTTTTAGTTATAGCCCTAAATATTCTTTAATTGTGTGCTTATAATGGATTTTTTTTATTTTGTAATATGATATTCTGATAATTAACTTGATGCCTGGTTGTAAAGCATCATCTCTATATATTTGACCTTGACTTTCACCAAATATTGACAGCATTGTAAAGTGCTATAAAATGCTGTTATAAATAAATAAAAACTTTAAGAAACAACATATCTTAATATTTTTGACATTTAAAGCTACAGTGTGTAATAATTACAGGGCTATACAGTCAGAAATGTAATATATTATACATTACTATGTTATTTATCATCATCTACGAGCTCAGCCTCTTAACCTTAATATTTGCATTGTCTTAGAATTCGTTATTTATAATTACATAGGAGCGGGTCTCGCAGCCATGGAGGCAGACATCTTTGCGCTACGGCAGCGCAGAGCCAACAAACTAGCGATTGCGAGATCGCCCATTAAGCTCGAAAGTAACTACGACAAGCTGAGAGAGATGAACTGAAATCTATACCCTACACAGACTAATGAAATACTATCTGTAAAATTATCTATGTAAACAAACCTCATCACTTGAGAAGGTTGGTGATGCGGACGTCGTGGAAGACATTTTGTCCCGTAACGCTCGCCGTACTGTTGGGGGGGGAGACGCGATGGGGGGGAGATGTTCATGTTGCTGCGGTCTGCAGTCTGGACGTTAGATGTCGCTGAAAATTACACACTGTAGCTTTAACAAACAGATACTACATAAGAATTTTAGTGATCCTGACTGATCTAAAATAAAAAAATAAAAAGTTTTGTCTAATTTCATTTTGACTGCTGATTGAAAAAATACACAAATGTTTATATGCATCTGGTCAAGTATCTGGTCTTAACAGATCTTTTAGTTATCAGGCTCCTCACCTGTGGTACTAACTACCAGCTTCAAAGCCTTTTTGGCTGGAGACAAATTTGAGCTGTGCTGCTGCAATGTACACCATTGTTTATAGCTGTTGGAGGTTTAAGTTTAGTCCTGTTTCTCTGACTGTGACTGACTATATGTGCTCTCTTTCATCCCCTGACATGGGAGCTGACTCGGAGCTTGTCTGCCTGGCTGTCTTTCCTGGATGGCACTGCATGTAGAGCTAGTTGACAGTTACCTTTAGTATATCTGCTTCTTTCTGTATGTCTGCTTCTGTCTCCTTGATCCCCAGTCGGCCTTGGCAGATGGCCGCTCACACTGGTTCTGCTGGAGGTTTCTGCCTGTTAAAAGGCAGTTTTTCTCTCCACTGTCACTACATGCATGCTTGGTGTGAGGGATTATTGTCGAGTCGATGAGTCGATAAAATCAGCTGGTTTTCCTTAGATAGAAAAATGTGAAATAATCTGATTATATGATCTGGTTGAATTGTCTCTGTAAAGGGAATTTGACATGACATGTGTTGTGAATTGGTGCTATAGGAAAAAAAACTGAATTTAACTTTATTTGTAATTTAATTGGCAGGGGTATAATGTACCGTAGGTATAATAATTGAGAAGAAAAGAAAAGAACCTCCTAGTAAGAGGTGTTGTGATCATGTACAGGTTGCCCTTCTTTAAGTTGGTAAAAATGGCCATAAGAGCATCAGCTCATGATGCAAAAGCATGTGTGGCATTTGTCCAACATAGGGGTGCCTATGTTGTTATTTGTGTAAGTCCAGTTCCCACAAACTCAGTGACCTTTCCTGGTATATCACTGCTACTGCAGGCTACCTGTTGAGGTTTGTTTAAAGCACCCAGTAAAAAATAGGCTATTTATAAGCTGCAAAAAATTTTAATTAATGAAAAAAATCTGTTTAAAAGGATTAAAACGCATCACGTACTTAAAAAAGGGTCTGAATCTCATATTATTGAAACTTGAAGACCCCAGACAAAAGATACTTGCACTTACATTTCTGTGTTAATCTATAAGCCATTTGGTATGTTTCAATCCTACCTGTGCAAAATACCAAAC